TGATAAAAAAAACTTAGTGTCCGCTTTCTGGCTTGCTTGGAGCTGCAACCTGAGTGTGACTCCGATGATGAGGAAACATTACTCTGTATCCCGATGTTTGATTCGGATTTTATTATTCAAGACAGTTAAAATCAACAACAGTAAAATCTCGCGTAACATTTGAAAATGGCCTATCCTCGTTGATCGATTTTTTTCACCGACTTTCTCTTTGGTTTACCACGGCAACATAAACGAATTTCTCTCTAAGCTCGCAGCACAGTTTGACAGAAGATGATGTTAGCTTGCGCTTGAAACAACATATCCAATGGGCAATTCATTTGCACTCGGATTATTCGCGAAAGAGAAAATCGATGAAGAGAATCGATCAACAATGATAGGCCCTTTTCTCGTGTTGCGCGAGAAATATAAGTCAAACGAGGTTAAATATCCAGCTGAAGATTTAAAAAAAGACTTAAACGAACCTTAAACACGAATTGTTGTCAAGAAATAAATAAGACCTTTTGCAAAAATCCACTAGCAATGAGAGAAAGATAGTTTCTCAGAGTACCTCTAGAGAGCTCTAATTTTTTCACTGTAGACCCCCCCACGGCTCGACTAGCTGCAAAGATGTTGTCTTTGGCAATGTTGCTCAAATATGCAAGACCTACACTCCCGATCATAATTTTGGGGTCACCTTTTAAAAAACATGTAGGGGAAATGTCTCTAATGTTGGCCTATGGATCTAAGATTGGGCCCATCGCTAAAAATCTGCTATTTATCAATTTTATCTAGATGAACGCGTTATTGGGACGTTACTAATAGATATTTTTGGTTGCTATTGAAAATTTAATCGATTGCTGAATTTATGTATGGACCCAAATTAGGGACACTTAGGCCGACATTACCTTCATTTCCCCTATATGTTGTTTTGCTTATATCTCTGTCATTTTACGACCTATTTTCGATCTTTATTGGTCATTTAAAAAGTATTGAGTGAAATTTAGTTCCCGATCATAAAGGGTCACCCTAAAAAAAATTACAAAAGTTTTGTGCTCATATCTCTGTCATTTCACGTCTAATTTTCGTTCTCATTAGGTCATTTGAAAGGTGTTCAATAAAAATTACTTCGTACATAAATAGCTCAATTTACTTTTCAGATTTTGTATACTACAAGTTCACCTAAAGTTACAGCACTTTTCAAAATTTACACTGCATAATCATGACTGATTTTCTCAAAATTGGGTCGGCCAAATTTTGAAATGAAAATGATTGACCAATTGCGCCAGTTTATCTGGAAATCCGTACTCGTGCATAATCTGCCATAACTGATCTCGATCGATTGTATCGTATGCGGATTTGAAATCGATGAACAAATGATGTGTGGGCACGTTGTATTCGCGGCATTTCTGCAGTACCTGCCGAAATGCGAAAATTTGGTCCGTGGTAGCACGGGCACCCATGAATCCCGCCTGGTATTGCCCCACGTACGCTCTTGCAAATGGTGACGAGCGGCGGTTATAGAATTTGGGAGAGTACCTTGTAGGCGGCGCTCAGCAGTGTGATCGCGCGGTAGTTGCAGCAATCCAACTTGTCGCCTTTTTTGTAGATTGGGCATACGACACCGTTCATCCACTCCTCCGGTAATATCTCCTCCTGGCAATTCTTGGCAATTAGCCAGTGCTTCACCACCGCATTTTAATAGCTCACTTGGTAGTTGCTTTGTTTTTCTTAAGCCGACCGATCTCCTCCTCAACTTCTTGAAGATCAGGGGCCGGTAGCCTATCGTCTTCTGCGCGTGCTCCAAGGTCTTTTGCCGTGCCACCTTCGTTTTCTGCTGCATCACCGTTGAGGTGCTCGTCATAGTACTGCTTCCACCTCTCAATCACCTCACACTCGTTCGTGAGAAGGTTACCGTCCAAGTCCTTGCACATATCGGCTTGCGGCACTTAGCCTTTCCGTGAACTAGTTAGCTTCTCGTAGTACTTCCGTGTGTCGTTTACGCGGTACAGATTTTCCATCGCCTCGCGATCTCGGTCTTCCTGCTGACGCCACTTCCTTCGGAAAGAGAGTTCCCGGAATGTCTGTCAAAACTCAGAGCAATATTTAATATTTCACTGAGTTTTGACAGACGTTCAGTTAATGGAATTCAAGGTAAATTAGTAGGAGTTAAGACAACAACTCGGGGAACTTCTTAATAGCTCTGGGAACTATTTAGGCTGTGTTCCATTTGGTGAATTTTCACTTAAATTTGACTTTACTTCCCTTCCAAAGAAAGGCGTGACCAGAGATGTTATACCTCAGAACATCCCGGCGGCGCCGACTGGGATTGAACCCAGGCCGGCTGGGGTGAGAGATAATCATGCTTACCACTAGACCACCAGCGCCGCTTGAAACCTTTCTAGAATGTGTACACGAGTTCTATTGTATATTTTAGTCAATATGAACATGTGATTCTAGTGTAATGAATGAATGTAAGCGGTGATGTAGTGATAAGCGTGATTGGCTCTCACCCAGAAGGCCTGGGTTCAATCCCAGTCGGCGCCGCCGGTCCAGATGTGGGAGCTACCTTCCTGGAGTCGGTAGCATTGGTACTCAGTATGGAAAACAAGATCGACGGAAAACAAATCAAGGGAAAAAAATAATGAAAATAACAATAGAATACTTGAATCAAATTTTACGAAACTTTTAAGATTTTTAACTTCTCAGTCTCGGAACTCTTCGAATACTTATAAACTCTTAGTTTGTACTGTTCTTGCGGCAAACAACAATGATAATTAAGTGATGCTTTGATCGTTTCCACAGTTTCCATTCAAAGTTGAAGTTTTGTCAAAGCTGCATTGTAATCGACTTTTTCCACATAACTAAATGCCATTTTCCATTCACAGAACGAGTCCCGGAATCATACAAAATACATTTAATGTTGCAATGATTCTGATTAACCATACTAAGAGGTCTTGAAAAGTTGTCACAATCCTAAGGCATGATTTTAAGTTCAGTTATTAAAACATTTCCTAAGTCCCAGAATCGATGGGTCTCAGGTAACCTAGTCAGTTAAGGGGTAATACCGGAGGCGGCGGATTCGATTTCCGGTCCGGTCGAGGAATTCTCTTGGATTGGAAATTTTATCGACTTCCCTGGACATAGAGTATCATTGTGCTTGCCACACAATATACAAATGTATGCATTTGTTGGTATAGAAAACTCTCAATTAATAACTGTGAAAGTACATCTAGAAGACTAAGTTGAGAACCGAATTTGTATTTGCATGAGCATGAGCATGATTGACCGCCCACGGTTGCTACTCTGATCAGCTGTACTTACACAGAGAACCAATAGACGATGCTTGGGACTAGCAATCATCCTCAATGTGTAAAAACTGGTGATCTCAAACTAGGCAATACCAGCGCCGGCCGCGCCCGAACGCAGGTCAAGAAAGGAATGGGTAGGAATTTGTTGACGTGACACTCGCTATGATGGAAACCGAGAAATCCTCTCCACTTCCACGAGGAATCACTGGGATGTTGGATAAGAGGGTAGGGTTTGCAGCAGGGTTCGTTTTGGTAAACGATAAGCTGAATTGAAGTCCTAACGGTAGGGAGGGGCTCCTGTATAAATAAATAAAAAGGAATGATCTCACTCAAATAACCAAGTGACTAAGTTGAGAACCGAATTTGTATTTGTTTGAAATACAAACAACTTTTCCAAGTTGAACGATCTTGAAATATGTCCTAATCTTAGGTCTTGAACTACCCTAGAAGCCCCAAGACCTTGTAAATTTATCAAGTCTCACATATGGCAAAAGTAAGTAATTAACAGAAATCTCTTGATTGTTTGAAATTTTGTTAAGCACAGTAAAAAATTGTTTATTACATACACCCATATAGGCTATTTGTAGCAAAACAAAGCTAATTATCTCGATTCATGCATCTCCTGCTACAATGCAAGTACAGGTTGATACAGATGGAGAAAAAAAAATCACGAATCACTCCAATGCCTCAATCTAAATCTCTAATTGATAGATACTGACCGACAAATGATGGAACAAAATGAGCACAAGGCGTCTGATTGTCGATGATAACAGTTTAAATAATTTAAATACTGAACATTACAAGGGTATTTCGATGGTTACCAGTGCAATAGTAGACCAAAGCATCGCAGATGCCTCCCTACAGCAACCAACCGACCGGATGCGTAAAATTAGAGACTGGAATTGTAATAGAATCGAATCGACACGTCGTCGCCTCCCCCTCCGAAGAGCGCCAAATAATTACCCCAAAAGTGGTTCCTATCAAAATTAAAGAATTTACACACGCATCATCGGTGTCTAATATACCCTAATATACGATAGAGACTAGAGGGACGACCCCGGATCGAATCTGAATCCAATTCAAACCGACTGTACGGGGTCATAAAACCACCGATGGCTCTGACTGACTCCCAGCTCAGCATAAGGCACGTACACGATAGTCGAATTGCAAATCGGCTGATCGGTGCTGCTTGAAATCGAAAAATTTAATGTTTTTATGCGCGTGATACCGGATTTATTTGCACCACTCTCCTGGTGGTGTTTGTGTTCGTCGTTGTTTGTGTTGTGTTCGAAACGAATCTGTCAAAAGTCAAACGAAAAAGTGAGCGATGAATTTTTCCGCGGCGATTTTCTGGCTTCGACGCTGCTGGCTGCTGCATGCAGAGAGCAGACACAGTGAACCGACGGAGTGAACCACCATCACAAAGCGTCAGCTAGCGGCTCACGACTCACTTCCTTCGGATTCCGTCCGACCATCCGGCCGTGTCGTCACGATACGGCAGAGTCTCATCCATGAAAAATAACTACTCTTTTGATGAAGGAAAATGATTCACTTCATGCAATGAATAAATAATTATCTAGAACACACGCAAAACGGGTGGGACATTGGCACCCAACCCCCCCTCCCACGTGCACCTTTCATCCACCGTGGAGGGAGTAAACGCGAACGAAGGGGGATGTTATCATTTTTCTCGGGAACTATCCTATTACTCACTTGAACTTCCTGGTTATTTCCGCAAGATAGTTGTTGCTGCTGCTACTGGACTTTCGACCGGATCAATGTGTTGGTTTTCTCTCTTTTTATTTGAAGGTTGCGAGAAATGGCCTCCTGTAGAATGTTTCGTGGGTTGATCCCCGTGTGGCACTGCGTGCTGATCCTGTCCTAACGAAGAAAAGCTCCACCGCAGGCCTGATGCACCGAAATTAACACTTTTCACCGCACTCTCGAACCGTAGTATCCGCAAATCCACCTATCACCGTTATTCCCGCACACCGTAATTCCGCACGGAAACCCGAAAAGCAAAGAATCCGAATCCGTTTCGGTAGCGTCTGCTAAAGTGACAAAAATTTCACACTCTTTCTTCTTCTCGACGGCCGCGGAGTGGAGTTTCCTTTTCCTCATACACAGAAAAGAGATTATGAACGCTCTCACACTCACACGCGCTTGTCACTCATCATCACTGCCACCGCGCACACAGGAGCGAGTGTGATGGCACTACCCTGCGTTCGAAAACCCGTGTGGGAGTATGCGAGATTTTCTCGTACACAACAGCACGTGACGTCACGGATTTTCACCTACACACAGGTGCACTCGGGTGAATGATTTTTGTTGTGGCAGTGGATGAACCTCTCTGCAACCGCATCAGCGTTTATCGCTTCGGCTGTGTGCGTGCGCTTCGCCACCAACTCCTCACACACCCAAAAATAAAAACCCACAACAATCGGCATCCAACCAAACTTGGCGACAGCAAGTCTGCACGCAGTTTTTCGCAACTTTTCACTAAAATTCACATCAACCAACTATCACTCGCGGCGGCCGAACGTAGCACGGAACGGTTCACAACAGTTTTCACCGGGTTTGCGCGGGCTTGGTTGCCTTTCGGGACGATTTTTGCCGGAGCATATCCTCCGTTGTTTATCTTGAAGTGCGGTTTGGTACAAGTTTGTGTGTGGGAAGGGATGCGGCGCGGTAGTAAGAGAATGAACACACGCGACTTCGAATTCGAACTGGGAGAAATGAATGCGTTGTCCCGTTGCGGTAGGGATGCCATATTTTTATTTTTTCCTTGAAAATTTGAAATGTTTGAAAATTTATAAAAATGGCATATCAGGCATAACATTTGATAACGGCACAAAAGCATTTGTAAACAAACTTTCTAAGGCCCTTTACACGCGAACCAAAGTACGCCCACGCAAACCAATACCACTTTCGGAAAGGAGATAGTTGCTCCTGTCCGATGATGTTGTTGGTTTGCGTGGGCGTACTTTGGTTCGCGTGTAAAGGGCCTTAGAAAGTTTGTTTACAAATGCATTTGTGCCGTTATCAAATGTTATGCCTGATTGTCTGTGTCTTTGCCGAGGTCGTTGCAGGCAGAACGCACCGAAACCATCGCAGATATCGTGTTTTGTTTCTAATGAAACATACAACACGGTAACCAGCGTAAACAAATTAACGTGTGAAATTTCACACATTTCGTGAAAAAAGGGGCCCAAACCCAGCAAACGTCAATAGAAGTGTATTTTTTTATACATTTTTCAAGAACGGTTTTTACAGCAAAATGTGTAAAAAGTAATCATTTCTAGAACTAAAATATCAGGCATAACATTTGATAACGGCACAAAAGCATTTGTAAACAAACTTTCTAAGGCCCTTTACACGCGAACCAAAGTACGCCCACGCAAACCAATACCACTTTCGGAAAGGAGATAGTTGCTCCTGTCCGATGATGTTGTTGGTTTGCGTGGGCGTACTTTGGTTCGCGTGTAAAGGGCCTTAGAAAGTTTGTTTACAAATGCTTTTGTGCCGTTATCAAATGTTATGCCTGATATGATGGGTGCGCCGAGGTGCGCATGGTTTTTTTTAACTTCGGAGTTTTCTTATTTGTGTCAATGATAAAATAAAGATGCTCACCTCCCCTAATAAAAATGGTATGGTTAATTTGCTTAACGACGTGTTCTGGGTATCATCCAAACCATTTGTGGAATAGTTCAACGATTTGGGCTATCGTTTGATAATAGTTATTTTTATTAGGGTCACCGAGGTGAAAATTGTCACTTCACCATCACTTCACTGTCACCTCACCTCACACGCCGCGCAGAATAGGCCTATGTGTATTTTTTCACACATTTTAGGATCTCTAAATTTACACAATTTTTGACAGCTGAAATATAAAAAAAAAAGTGAATTTTTTTTTTACTCATTTATGTGTTTACGCCTAGGTTTACGCTGGCTACCGTGGCTTGGTTAAAAGTGACATTTCGTCAGTTATTTTCAAGGGTCGAAAATCCCGGTGTTACACGCAGATAAATGATTTTTAAATTCAAATGAATATATTTTTGGCTCAGGGCCCAATATATTTTTGGTCTTGATTCAAATATATTATTCGGTTAATTCAAAGAAAAATATTTTTGAATCAACAAACCAGTTGTAGAGACAATAATCTATTTGCTGATTCTAAAAATCAGTTTTGTTGATTCAAAAATATGTTTTGTTGAAATAGTGAAACAATATCAAGAGCAAATTTTCATTATGTCGTAAGTAACATTCGCACCAATCCGAGAAAAATAAAGTTTTGTTTTGATGACCGAAAAGTTATTCCTATTTCAAATTAAACACATATAATCTCATAGTGATAGCAATGTTTAACATATTTACCAGGGTTTTAATCATACAAATGCAAATCGCTAGCTTTCATGCTAAAAAATACTGGTTTTTGAGTCAAAAGTTATTATACGTCGTTTGGTGGCCCCTATTGTTACTTAAGTCAAAGTGTATTTACCAGGATATTCGGGAGAATTATCAATTACGTCTCCTTACGTGCAGCCCATTCATCATTTTAGGACCACCGAAATCATCTTAGCATCAAACAGTTCGATTTATTCACTTTAATAATAAGAAAGCGAAACGACGAACGTACACTTTTCACGGGTTTCCCAGTGCTGTTACTTAAGTCAAACGGCATCTCCATAGAAATCGGGTGACTTAAGTAACATCGAAAAATATTCTGATCGGAAGCTGATTACGTCAAAAAGCAATTTGACTGGTAAAAAATTTTAAAAATGGGATGTGATCCTATATTCGGACAGTATATAGTGTAATAGCAGGAGAATCGATTGACACTGATAGCTCGACTTTGTTTACCTTTGTTACTTTCGACGTAATGAAAATTTGCTCTTGATATGTTTGAATCAATAACAAAATACATTAGGCCCTGCACTCAAAAATATTATTAAACAATGATAGATTAAAAATAAATCAATTAATGATTTCGCCATATTTATACATTGAGTCGATTAAAATTTGCTTTCTAAATTATACTAAGTTCAAATAACGGTGTGGAATTCGTTCAGCGTATAATTGGAAAGCTATCAATCGCGTTAGTTTAAATTATGAAATCCATGGAAATGGCATTTTAATTGCACGAACTCCGTTCCTGTAGGAAGATCTAAAGGAATCAGCTACGAAAGAGGATAAAATCCAACTGTTTGGGGGACTGCTGAAGCTCAAGAATGAATCCAAAACGGAATTGTGATCAATCAACGGTGAGCTGACTGCATGGGACAGTTTTACGGAGTCCCTTGTGAGGCCTCAGTTTGCCGGTGCAAGGCAGCATGATTCGCACGAGCTGGTCAGACATTTACTGGAGAGCATGAGGATCAAAGTATTAAGGTAGTGAGCTACGTCGCTTTAAAGTGATGATGAATCTAATTCTTTCCTTTGTCCACAGATACCAACTGATGATCCTGCTTTCGTTCGGCTACAGCAGAACCTTCGAAAACTATATGAAGAAAAAAGTTAAATTTTACGGCGTGCAAGCAGCTGATCGGATCTTCCATCCGGAGCCGGTGTTCCGGGGCTTTCCTGTGTCAAGCCTCACCTGCCAGGATTCCTACCAGGTGTCCTCGCAATACGTCCGGAACCGGATTACGACTTTGGTGCTCGTTCTATGTAGAACCTACAAACCAATGAGCCATAAGAAGCGCCGACGTGTCACGAAAGTCAATCGTGTCGCTGCCAAGAAGGACAATAGCCTGCTCAATTCGAATGCCACGATTATGGGTGCCATAGGGCCAGAAATGGGAACGGATTCCGGTGCCGGTGGTGAGTCCGAGGCAGATGACGATGAAATGTTCGATGCAGATGTGGAAGACAATCTAACGGACTCGGGCACCATGCACGGAGCTAATACGAGCCAAATCTTTCTAATTGAAATAAAATACTCACCAGTATCTCTATTTTTAGTTATTATTTACAAAAGGAAAAAAATGAAGCATGCAATAAAATTAATGACAGCAGCATCAAAGCCCAAACACAAATTAATAACGATTATATATAGATAGAATACGTGCGCTTTATTCACTGCTATGTATAGAGCAATTTTATACTAAGTTCGTATTCTCATCCTTTAAACCCAGCAATGCGTCGGGCAGGAGAGTTGCGATTTAGCGTACATTTTAATCTATTTAGATTTAAAAATATTTTGAGTGTGCAACTAAAATCAACTCAAACCAGAACTAAGCCACAGTCAGCGTTGCCAGTATTCCAGATTTACCTGGATTTTCCAGATTTTCAGTCGCCTTGCCAGATACACAGACAGACCACGTATATTTCCAGATTTTTAAAATACTTTCCAAATTTTCCCAGATTTTTGCTACTTTAGTTATTAAAGGCCATTAACGTTGGAAATTATTGCAACATCGTACATGGAATTGTTACAACATGTTTGCATGTTAATGGGTTGCAGAATCATGAAAATTGAGACATTTCCTAAAGATTGTTGGGTGAAAAAATCCTTCAATTTTTTTTTAAATATCGGGCCTTTCTTATTTGGAATTTTTGTTTTGATTTTGGCTATTATTTTTTTTTGGAAACGGGGACTAGAAAAGGACTACCCTAATAAAAAATAACCATAAATGAACGATAACCCAAATCATTGAACTATTCCACAAATGGTTTGGATGATACCCAGAACACGTCGTTAAGCAAATAAACCATACAATTTTTATTAGGGTAGGGGACTAGAGAAATCGAAAACTGTCCAGGATTTTTTTTTTTTTTTTTTATATTAATTTATTTGTACAGGCTCAATCGAAACTGTCCAGGATTGAAAACAACAAATTGAGCTTTGGAAAGCTTTTGAATCTAGACAACTTCCAGGACTTTGAAGTATGTTCTTGAGATTTTTAAGGATTTAATTTAAGAATTAAATTTAAAATTAAAGGCATTTTTTGAAGTACTTGTGAGTATTGAGTTAGCAGTCTGAATTACTTTCGAATTCTGAATTGCTCTAGAATTTCATAATTCTAAGTACAGTGTGAAGTGAATTCCTTGTGAAATCATAGGAGGATTTCAAGTTTATTCTGAGTAGAGTTCCATAATTCTGATGACAATTGCTTGGTGATTTTGTGAAGAAATTAAATATAGCTCGGAAGAGAAATCATAGAAAATTCATAAGATTATACTTAAGGAACGTTGATGGCAAATTCAAGGAATTGCTGGGAGCATATGAAAGGAAATCTGAGAGGAATACAGCGAGGAATACAATGAGTATGCTGAAGCAAATCGTGAGAATAATTCCAATCGAATTCTGTCCAAGCTTTCTAGGGAGATTCATTTTAATTAAATTTTAAGAAAAAGTGTAACGGTCATTCTGAGGAGTGAAATTTTTAACAATATTCTAAGGGAATTTCATCGAGAAAATGGAGACAAAATAATGCGAGTTTTTTGGAATTATTACCAGTTTGGGGGAGTTATGAAATTGTAAAATGATATCTAAGAGATAACAAGAGATAATGCGTACCAAGAGAGTTTTTCTGAGAACTCCTCGGAGAACTCCTAGAATGCTGCTGAAAAAGTTTGGAGATTATCTAGATTATTTTAGGAGACTCCAGAAAAGAAATATGATGGAATTCTAGGATGATTCAAAGGGAACTCTGAAAAAATGTCGAAGATATCCTGTGAAAAGTTCCAAGTAAATTCTGACTAACAAAAAAATTTATAATATGAGTCGTAGAAAAATATAAATTACATAATTGAGAATCATTTCAAGATCCTGAGACTTCAAAAATTGAATGCGTCACTTTCATTTGAGTTATGTAATAAATTATTTTTTTGGCACTAAATTATTCGTAATGGTCATGCGTGGAAATACCTGTAGTTTAGGTAATAAGTGCGTGAGTACCACCATGTGAGGCTTTGGCTCTGACTTCAGCCAGGTGAATTTTTCATAAAATTAAAATTGCCTACTGGTATAAGTAGGTTTTATGTGTTGTATGTTGTCAAGAACTAAATTGTAAGTCTGACCAGCCTCAGGGTAATATTAGAATTAGTTAAAACTAATAAAATCTTTCAGACATATTCTGGTAGTGCATCAAATAGTACGGGCTACATCGACTTTTATAAATAAAATCCATTTCATCAAAGTTGCTTGATTCTTTGATTCTCATATTTAAAAAAAAAAGTTACAGTTTAAACATATTTTCTGCAGTATTTTACCCAAAATTTAACTCAAATTTGAAATTATCTATAAAGAATATTTAAACTTTTTGGGCACATTGTGCCAATACTTTGCTAACTTTTTGATGCTAACAAGTTATTCCTTTTTTTTTCATTATTTAACGTCGGTCTCTGTTCCGCAATCTAGTGCCAATCACCGACGAACATCGATTGCCATCCATTAAAGGCAATCGAATGTGCAGGAAGACAGCTTCCACACCTGCGTAGGATATCGAACCCATTCAACACACATGGGCCGGGACCAACGGCTTTACTTCCCTTCCGAAGGAAGACGTGACCAGAGATTTTTATGCCTCAGAAAAATCCCACCGACCTCGGCTGGGATTAAACCCAGACCCATTGAGGTGAGAAAGCAGTCACGCTTACCACTACACCACCGGCACCGGCTAACAAGTTATTTGCCTTATATAATTTATTTAGACATGTAATTCATAAACATTCTGGTACTTTCAATAAATTCCAGATGATTATACTGACCGATTTTTACGGGAGATTGGCACATCCATTTGATTTCAATAGCATTAGGTTAAAAACAGGACTTTTTAGGAGCATTCCAGATTTTATATTTTTACAGGTCCAGATTTTTCTGGCTGGCCACAGTGGACAAAATTTAACTTATACCCCGTTCACATTACAGCCTATATCACGTAATATAGGCTGCCTTGCAATGAGCACTCATATATAGGATTTCCAGTGAAAACTAAATGTATGCCACGCTCGGATAGCAGGATTATTCGATAATTTTCCATCGGTCCCTTTAAACAACGAGTTAAATTTAAGTTAAGTTTTAGTAGAATCCAAGTGAAATTTATGCGTCACTACACGGATAGAAATCTCCTTATACCTTTTGGCAAATTTCCATTGCTGATTATTCATAAAATGTATAAGTCAATTAATAAGCAGACGCCTTGCAAAAAGTTAATAAAGATCATGTGTCAAATGAAATGTATAAGCGGTCACATATACCTTTTATGCATTCTAATAGGACCTATGTGGTTTGTCTTATGGAATGTATAAGGCTGATGCTTTGGCAAAAATGTATAAGTGAAACACATGAATTAAATAATTGATTTTCGTTTCGTGTAGTGGCGGGAAATAGTACCAGTCGATGGTGATAAATTTATGACAGCCGGTTCAAATTCCAGCGTTTGAATCCAGCATTTTACGAGCGCTGATGGCTGAGTTTCTGGTAGGGAACATTCGATTTGATGTTTGGGTTATGTCATTTGACGTATAAACGATCAAATTTGACCGTTTACCGGTCAAACGACACAAGCCAAACTTCAAATCATATGTTCCCTACCAGAAACTCAGCTAGATTGTGGCGGCCATCAGCGCTCGTAAAATGCTGGATAATACATTATTGAAAAAAAAAAGTTCAAATAGTGGGATACGATCATTTTTATGAATGATACATGTAGGAAATTTGTCGAATCATGCAATGTTATGTGAATTTCCATTGCACTGTGATTGAAAGTTAATGAAAATGCGTTTTTTGATGCACCGATATTTTTAGGTTATGTTTTGTATGACTGCAGATTCCCATCCCAGTCCCGGGAAGGACTAGCGGTTTTAGAGACCCAGCATATTGTGTGCCTGGGCTACACCAGCAGAATGGGTTTGTTCTGCAAAGTTCCCATCCCGGAGAGCGGCCCCTTGAAATTAATCTCAAATTACCCCACGAAAACAAACTTTGGAACTAATATTCAACAAAGTCTGCTTCAACTAAATGATGTAGCATATTCGCTCTGTCCCTGTAAACAGTGGCACCCTTTCTCCACTGCGCGAATTTGTTGCTCACCGACTTCGGAACCCGAAAAAGTTGAAATTTGTTCTCGTTGCATCCCGGGATAATGCAACGATCTTGCAACAGCAATGAAAATGTTAGGCGGTGGAGCTTAACGTTTTAAAAAAATCAACTATTTTCCTGATTGCAAACAGTGATATCATTGAAATCATTTTTCATTTTGAAGAAGGCTACTTTTCTTACAATTTTACAAGCTTCTTGATCACGTACAAAAATATTCTGATATGAGTCACGTTTGACAGATGTTTTACATTTTTATCACCGCTACGACAACAGCGCCACGGGTGGCCGGTGGTTGGTTGGATTTGACAATTCCTCGGATAAGGATGTGTCGTTTCTCTTGAAACATGTTTTGAAAAGCTCGCACACAATGTGATGTGCAAATTTACAGTAGAAACGGTAAATCTGGCACCTCTGCCCAGCACCTTTTGATGGACGAGTGAACCAAATGAGATGAAGTGAACCGAGGTGAAGCAATCGGTTAAGTTGTGTGAGTGAAACCCATGTAAGATACAAGCAATTAGTGACGTCACTAATTGAGTTTACGTTGATTTTTTGGTTTACTAATACAACCATATTTCCCGATCTGCTTCACCTCTCTCTGTACCTACCTCATTTGAGTGAACCTCCTCGGTGCATGAACTCAGCTTGGGGTGGTTCCACAACAAAAAATGATTCCCGATTCCGTATTCCCATAAGAAAATGTGTGGGAAATCCGTTTTTGGAAGGAATATAGAAACTAGGGGTGTTTAACTCGAGTTTAGACGAGGCAAAATCTGGTGATCAACAATCAAGTGAATTGAAAGCAAATACAAAAAGTTGGTCATCGCCTTGAATCGTCTAAACCGGGTTTGAAGGATGCCAGTGATCTTGTCTTGGAATGGAACAATGAACCAGAGCTATGAATTTCGGACCTAAAACGAACAGACCTTTGACACCCAGGTTTTACACTCTACTTAAAAATGATGCTTTAAAAATAAATACACATTTACCATGAAAAAAATAAAATAAAATGGAAGAATGTCCCTCAGCTATTCAGCTCTGCATAGTTCGGTCCCAGCGCCAGACGGTGCCATCGTCACAGACACAAATCAGAATATCGCCATTCCTAGAGAAGGACGTCTGCCGAATGGCGGTCGTACATTTGGGATGATAGAGCTGGCTACACCTGGGATGCACAGGATCATCCGTGTCCAACTCCCAAATGTAGGTCTTACCATTTTGATTACCCAGTGCTAAAAATTTCTGCCAATAGTCCAACGAAAACCGGATGAACCAAATGTCACACTCCTTGTACTCGAGTGTAGTTAAAACCGTTGTCGTCGTATCATTGTTTTTTACTTCCACATCGTCGATCTTGCCCGCTTTCCAGCACACGATTGTGTTCTCGCACGACTTGGACAGGATGTAATCGCCCATCCATCTCACGCAGTCCACATAGTTCCGGTGGATGTCTCGCGTTGAGAAGACCGGAAAGTGTTCATTGACCGTCGGAAACCGATACATGGCTTTGGAAACGTTGAAAGTGTAACTACCCCGGATGGCGTCCTTCATGGTGTCCGTATCAAGACGCCACATCTTCAACGAGTGGTCCATCCCACAGGTTATGATTCTCGATCCCAGAATGTCGAAATCTGCACTCAGCACTTCGTCCCTGTGACCTTCCACACCACCGAAAACCGCTATGCACACGTCGGTTTTCGTGTTCCACAGACGCAGCGAATGGTCCTTACTGGCCGAAAGCAGCAGATAGTACTCCTTCGGGTGGAATTTGACCTCATTGATGGCGTGCCCATGGCCTATGTAGTGCTTAGCCGTGTTAAACGTTGCAGGGCTGAAAACCCGGATGACTCCCCGCAGCCCAGCTGCGGCCAGGATTGGACGTCCAGTTTCGCTCTCGTGCGACCACGCACAAGTGTAGAATATTTCGTCAACCTTAAATAAAAAACAAAAACCAGACATGATTTAAAATCAACTTTAATTTTACTCAACATACGTCAGGATCGGAATAGCACTGCAACAGTTTGAGATCTCCATTTTCCAAACACTGATATATCGTAACCCGATTGCTTCCGACGGCAGCGAACACTGGTAGTTCGCCCTTTTTCAAATTATGATTAAACTGGCATCCGAAAAGTGGCTGTGCGTGATCTTCCTTCACGTAGCACCTTAAAAAAAATTACAGAAAGGTTACAAGGTCAATGCATGCACCTATAAAAAAGATTGACCGCCCAGTACTCACGCAAATTTATAAAACGGTCGGGCCACTTTGGGTATTTTCTTCTTCGGTCGTCTGTGCTTCTTCCGGTTCGGATGGCTCTCGCTCCCATTGGAGGTGTTGTCGGTGCAAGTGCTACCAATGCTAGAAGTTTCATGCTGCTCACGGATACAAGGAAACAACACACACAAAGCATCAGAACGAGCGTCCTTTTAGTTTGTTAGTTTAAAAACATATTACCGCATCATCGTCCTCCTCACCGTCCGACGCGTCCACGATTGGAATATTTGCCGGATCGTCTTTTGTTCCGAGCTTCATTTCCGATGATATTTTGTAACTTTTAACTGGAATCAACTAATGAAAAAATCAATTAGGTTCTTGTGGGCAAGCACACCGGATAATTTATTTTCGCGGCTGTTGATGAAGGATTTTTTTTTTTCGAAGTGCATAGTAAACAGAAACCAAAACAAAGGGAAAGAAAGCGGTAAATTTGACGGATGAATTCGAAATTTTTGACATTCCAAGAAGAGCTGGGTGATACTGTTATACGAATTTTGAGCCTACACTCAAAAATATTACTAATCATAGAAAGGTTAAAAATTAACCATTTTATGATTTATCAATATTTAAACATTGATTTGATTATAATTTGGTTTCAGAATTACACTAAGTCGGAATAAAGGCATAGAAATCATTCACTTTGTATTAAGGTAAATATTTCGAGGACGCTCATAATGGTTTTCGATCGAGTCTTTATTTTTTCACGTCAATCTTGATTTCGTCGGTAGTTTAGTGGTCTAATATGAACCAATATACACAGCAAAAAAAAAATGTAATATCGATCAACGTAATTCAAGCTGATGTATGAAATAATGATGTAATAGCAAAAAGCAGATACAATATTACATCAATGGATGTAATTTTGTTCGCATTATCGATGTACATCGTACAATGTGATATTACACAACCGATGGATTGACCTGGTTGCATCAGTTTCGATGTAATATTCAACAACTTTTTTTGCTGTGTACCTAATTGATAGACACTTTCAACCAACAGGTAATGTAATAAAACATAATTTTAAAAATAAAAATAATATTCTTTTCCGTCCCTAAATGGTCCACATAATTTTCATTACAGGATTTGCTGAATTCCTGTGAAGAATCCGATCCAAGGGTTACGTAGAGCAATCACCATGTCATTACAACAATCGGTCTGAAGGTCAATCTATCGTGCGAGTATGAGGTAGGTCTATATCAAAGGGATTGATTCTTCATAGATCGTTAATTACTTATATCTGTTCCACATTTCAGCACCTTGGGCGGCTAGCATTCAACCTTTCGACACCATGGATGAACTGCACTTCCGATAGGAGGACATCTCTCTGCACTTCAATTGTCAAATGGAACTGAAACTGGAGTACGAAAATAATTTGGCAGGCTCGGTTGAGAACGTTCAACACGACGCAGCTGCAAGACAATTTGTATTTTATCTTAAATTATTACAATAAAAATATAACTACATTAGTGCTGTTTACTTTTATTCATTATCAGTCACGACATAAAAAGCAATCAAAAAACGCATCCTGACGAATAAACGGTCTTAATACATCCTAAAAAATACCGCAACTTTATACTAAGCTTGCATTCTCTCTCTTTATACCAAGCTATGCGTCGGTCAGGAGAGTTGCGATTTAGCGTAACTTTTATACTATTTAGATTTCAATATGTTTTGAGTGTATAAAAATATCACGTAACATGCACAGCGAAAAAAAAAATGTAATATCCACTCAAAGATAAAATTTTACATGCATAGATTAAAACTTAATCATTTTCCAATTAAGTGATAAATAAACGATGCTTGGTATACAAATTATACCACAAGTTCAATAGTTTTTATACTAGAAGTGAATAAGCGAACAGTAATCACCCTATAGGCCTAACTTTGTCTGTCTCTAATAGTACGTTCAGACTACAGAGTTATAACATGTTATAGCGCTATCTTGATGGTGGTTTCTGTGTTGCAATTATTCGACAACCGTTATAACATGTTATAACTGCTCAGTCTGGCCAGCGTTTAACTCATTACAAAAAAAAGTGCAAGAAGATGGAAGGTTGAAACCATTTCAAGAAAATTGTGAATCATTAGGTTTTAGCTTGATTCCTGTGTATATTAGGTCAAGAACACTTCTGTTTTTAATGATATATTATCTCTATGGCGTAATAGTACGTTCAGACTACAGAGTTATAACATGTTATAGCGCTATCTTGATGGTGGTTTCTGTGTTGCAATTATTTGACAACCGTTATAACATGTTATAACTCTCCAGTCTGTACAGCGTTTAAGTCACTCAGCACATTGTGCCGAAATTATATTCGGCACATCCATCGGCACATTTTCGGCATAACTTCGGCACAATATCATAGGCAATAGATTGTTGCAAGGGGTGAGACAGCTTTGCTCTGAGTTGCTTTTTTTGCAGCAAGTAACTCGCGAGTAATTCACTGTACCTCAAAATTTAATCGACGTTCATCGATGTTTTTGTCTGGTCACTCCTTGGCTTACTCCGTTTATCCCTTTCACATATGAGTCTTGTTTATAAACAAAATAGAATTTTTTGACTACTGAAACGATGTGAATTCCAGATTTTGTTGAAATAAAAAATAGCTTTAAAGATGCTGGAAAAGCTTCGAAATGGGGCGCATTGGCGTGGATGTTCATCTGTTTCTCTGTGCCATTATGATCGCGCACGAAACTTCGTTTCCCTACGTTGTGATATTTTTTATATATAAAAACAGACCGGCTGTTGGGCCATCCTGCCATGGCGGAGGCATACGAACTATATGCATTTATTCATACGGTTGACAAATAATAACACAGTGACAATTATACATGGACAAGTGGTGACATCTATGGACAGGTAGTAGTATTATGTTATGCTAAGGGTAAAGGCGGTAAACGTCGCTTGCACGAACATACCGGCCCGCCAAACCAACGGTTTTAAAATAATATAATGATTTCGATGATTAATTCACTGGTCATTCTTCATTCTTCGTCGGTCGATGAATATTGATATGAAAAAAGTACACTGATGCAATCACGCAGGCAGATGAATATCCAACGTAGACACTTGCCCGTTGTCAATGAGCATCCGCCTCTAGCCAAATACTGAGCCGTTTGCAGCAGTATCGGAGGGTGAGCTAGATCCGAGCGGGATGCTCTGCTAGATGGCTACTTGAAAAGCCACACCATCGTAGCCGGTAGCGTAGTTGAATACTCCATAGCACACTGGTTTGATCACACAAATATACAAAGTTCTGGGATTTTTAACTTGGAAAATCACGTCACTTTCATTACGGTTCGCGCAATCCTGGTCACGGCACCATTGTTTGCGGCACCAAGTGCTTTTTATTCGTATTCCTCCGTTTCAAAACGTTGAATGTGAATTAACTGTAGGTAGGTGGACATATGCGATTTTCTCTCGTAAAATAACAACAGAAACATGAGTGGTAGGAAAGGGTTCTTGGTGATCTCAAGATTCTCAAAAGTAAATCCGATCCAACCAAGTACAGCATCATCGCTATAGACTTTGCTGACGAGAAACCGAAAAACGAAACATGCTTCGAATATAATGAATGATAGTTTAAAAAAAACAGTTTTCCTTCTGGATGAAATATTTTCTTTAAATAAGTTATGTTCAACTTCAACGGAGACTTCCTTTGACGGTGGTAGCAGAATCTCGGTGGTGTATCGCAGAAAACGGCCCATTTCATAAAATGAGGGGTTATTGGTTTTTCCTATGTTTCGAGGGGTGAATCGATTAGCTTGGGACCGAAGAAAGTACCAGAGCTGAGCCAAAAAGTTGAGCACGTTATTTCGAGACCTTCTAGTCTTAGAGTTACCTCCGAGGGGGGCGTCACATCTAAATCTCAAGTTTAGATGCTCAACAAATCTCACACTAGCGAATCAATCTTCGAAAAATCTTCTTTCATTTGTCGCATCTACTTGCATCGCTCATCATCTTTTTGCAGGAAATTTTCAGAATTGTCGTCAATCTTCTTTTTATCTACTCAGCGTGCGCGCAGCTAGCCACTGCAAAACACAATCTTTTTTGCATCGTAGATAGAGTCGCCCCCCTCGGTTACTGTAGTATATAAGACATGCAAGAGTCTCACGCACACTTTTGTGCATCTGGAGAACTCTATTAGTGATACACTGTCACCGCTGTCACTCACACAATCATCCACTCGATCTTGCTTTTCTCTCGATTAGTTTACCAAGCTCTTACTGTTTCCACAATTGCCACACATAGCTATACACATTTACGTATGCGCTGGTGAATACATGCCCCTCCGTACTGTTATGCTCCGTTCATTAGTGGCATCTTCAATAGGGATGTCTATTTTTTTATTGCAGTCATAATTTAATAAATAATTATGAAAAGGTGTGAGTACATTTATTTTTAATTTTATTTCTCTTGCATGTCTTATATACTACAGTTACCTCTATGGTTTTATCTAGCGGCAGGTTGTTGAACGTGGCAGGTTGTTAAAAGTGTTTCTTTCACTTTCGGCTTGTAATTTTAAAAGTGTATTTTTTTGAATAAAAGTCGAAAAACTGTCAAAAACCTCTTCATTGCAAAGTTTTTGACAGTACTGGACCACCGTTTCCCACCAAATTGGACATGTGAAAAAAAAACGAAACCAGCAGCTAACATGAGCAGCAGCAGTTTCTTCAAGTTTCCCACATTTTCATCCGCCGGCGCGCTTGTTTCTCTTCTGACGCTATCGAGTGGAAGTATCGGAAGGATATTCCAGTTACGGGATTTGGAGGTAGGTTGATGAAATTTTCGAATACTTTCGATCTTGTTTCTGATTTTACTAATTTATGTGTTTTGAGCAGTCTTGCCGGAAAGGAAGGCTACTCTCACCATCACCATCATCAACTGTATAATTTGCGTAAAATCGAAGACAACAAATCAAGAAGACTGGCAACTCTTCCATTTTCTCATACGAACGCTATTAGACACGTAAAATCGCGTCATCTGCCGCTCAAAGGTAAATGCTTCGAACGAATTTGATAGCAAAGATGTTAACAAAGTAGGCGTTGGATTGCTGTCTTGAACACTCCAATCAATTTTCTAGCGTTATTCCATATCAAGACACTGAAGAGAGCAGTCATACCAAGATAACTTTATCGTTAATAAAACTTGTTCATTGTTAAGTGTTGTCCTGGTTATTTCCTGTCCGCCCCATCCGCACCGTATTCCTGTAGGTTATGGGCTCGTCTACGAAGGAAGGCTCTGGAATTCCGCAGCTAAACGGATCGAACTTTGAGAACTGGCGTTTTCGCGTTCAACTCTACCTGGATGCGGCGGAAGTTTCAGAA